CGAGTTGTTTGAACAAAATGATGTACATTCGAACAAATCGAAATTTTAGATTAAGATTTTATTGAAACTTCGTTAGTATATCAATTATGCTAGTAAGATATGATTCTGAAAATTTTATTACAATCTCTGCGATGAGTTTCGAGAAAATTAATTTTGAAAAAAAATGAAGGTGTTTTTATTTTGCATCGTTTATCCAAATGGCTTCGCTTTTTGGCAAATTAATTTATCAACAAGAATTATCGATAATCAATGTGATTTCTGTGAAAGTTTGAGTGCAATTGAATCGAAATTTGCGACGTAGTTGGAGTTTAAAAATACGCGCGAAACGCTATTTATTATGATCGAAACACCTTAAAGAAATAGCATTGCTAATTTATCCTTACCATATATCCAGTGACAGGTGCTTCAGGTGGTGCAATTCGCAGACCTTGTCTGATGATCCCCACCCAGTTAGTAAGTCTAGAACCATGCCATAGTAACATCCTGAAACAAATATCACATGGAATGAAGAGAAGAATGTGCGGGAATGTTGCTACTGTTTTGCGTCCTCATCTGAGAAGGGCATCTAGTTATCTTGCTAAGAGATGGCCCACCCAAACCCGCCCACATAGTTACTATATAGACTTTTATCAGGCTTAAATGACATTGTGAAATTCTTGATGACTTAATCATCTCAAACAAAAACACCATGGTTGAGTGATGAATGTCAAGAATGATAAATAAGATAAAGACTGAACTTCTTGGGTTGCACTTCAACGATAATGTTGTAAAATTACAGACACAAGACGCATTTCTAGTGAATCAAAATAAAGACAAGACGCATTTCTAGTGAACTAAAATAATGACACAGGACACATTTCTATTGCACGCTTATTTAAACACAAAAAAGAGTGTAATTATATATGGTACACAAATTAAATTGAAATGATCACTAGAAAAAATCGCGCGCATCTAAGGCTGTAAATTTGATGTAAATATGATGTAAGTGTCCAAAATTCTGTAAATTTAATGGAAATTATTTACATCAAATTTACAGAATTTTGGACACTTACATCATATTTAYATCAAATTTACAACCTTTAAAGCGCGCGATTTTTTCCAGTGGATACAGATGAAGCATTCAATACAGTTTTGCCACAGGTCCACTTTGAGAACAAATTAGTACTACTTAGATTTTGAACTACTGAGATTTTGTCTAAGTGCGATCACTCTAATGTAACAAAGATTTCTACAATTAGGACTTCTTCAAGATTACCTGTTTCCTAAATCTTTGAAATCTTCATTATGATGCTTTAGTGCAAACACATCCACCAGTTCTAAGTTATACTGGTTATGTGTCTTGGCATGTGTGTTAAGAAGATACTGCTCCACCAACTATTGAAAAAAGAACAGAAGTGAGATAAATATAGAAAACTGTTGAATTTGGCTATGGGCTGTCTGTGGGCTGTGTAAATAGACCTAATCGGCTAACACGTTGCTATAAACGTTTCCACCCAAATCAAACCACCCGGGAGTAAGTTTCATTGTTCGTTGTTTTTTTCATTTCACAGTTGAATTCATGAAAACAAAAGTTTTTCCCCCGACAGGATTTTAGTTCGGTGGCAACAAACATGCCAACGCATAAGCCGATTAGGTCTATGGAGAAGCATAGGAGAATGGCAGATACTGTAACATCTCATTAATATGACAATGAGTGTTGTCATGCTGTAGATTTATTATGGGTGTGGTCAAGGGGGCCACCCTCATCCCTCATACTAAAGAGTCATTATGGGTGTGGCCAAGGGGCACAGCTCACCCCATCATTTATACCTTGAATTCATCATGGGTGTGGTCAAGGGGTGTCATATCACACTGCAGGGATTTGTAGTGTCTGTCTATTGGGTGATCCTTGTCAATCACCTCGTCTTTAAGCATGGACACAGCTATCTGAATATCGCCAAGTGCCTACAAAGTAAATGATCATTATCACTCATCCATTTAGAGGGCTAGATGTAAGATTATTTCAGGGAATATTTAAGAGAAAAGTCAAACCTCTAGCAGTTGTATTTTGATCTTAACTTCTTCTGATGATGTAATTAGTGGAGGTCTTTTCATTCTATAAACACAAAGAAAGACCTAATATTATTTTTAGCTTGTTCAATGGAATTATTTTCAGTTGGTAAATAAACTTGGAAATACCTATGTCATCGACCATGAGTGAGTGAGTTGAGTGTATGTAACCAAATCGAAGTAATTTCAACCAAATCGAAGTAATTTCGGATTATACGAGCCTGTACGAAATTGTCTACGAAATCCTGACGACTGAGATTTACGAGGAAAAATCAATTTAGCCTGACCATGTGCGTTCTCTTTGCTACATTTGTGCATTCGTGTTCTTTTATCACAATACAAGTAATACAATTATTCAAACTATTTTGTGTTGAGAACTAGGCACAAATTTCTATGAACTCACTTTGATCCTTAAAACAAAAATAGTGCAAAATTGATGATGAATTTTTCACTTGACAGTATCTTTGTTTACTATCTCTATTTCGTGAATAATATGAAGCAGACTTCAAATTACACTCTGCCGTATGTCCTATTCTAGATCTCTATGTTCCTGCATATTTTTCTTTTATGATTTGCAAAGCTATGCCTTATACTGGAAAAAGCTTTAAAGGTATCTCTAAGTTTGCAGTATGCCTCATCTTATCTAACCAACCTCAAGGCCGAAAAACAATCAGTATGTACCAGCGGTATCAAATAGTACAAAGCTAACAGTATGTACACAAACAGACGGATCAGGAAGGGTTGCTGAAACTTGCAATGTATTTGTCAATCCTAAGACATCCATCAAATACAACTGTAGCAAGTGCTTTCAGGGGAGAGTCGGTGGGGTGGTTAGGCACTATTAGCACATTAGTTCCAAGGTTTTTTTTTACCACACAACAACCTTTATTAAATTCACTAACCCAAAGCAGTGTGGTATCCTTGTGTAAAATGCATCACATGCTTTGACAAGTTTCTTTCCAAAATCTTTGCCATTAATACAACTTTCAATGTCCTTGAGAGCTTCATAGCCTGCTCTGATCTGTTCTGTTGTCAGTTTTCCTGGAGAGATTGATTTAGAAAAGAGTAAGCACGCTTCAAGTACCATAATATTACATTGTGATTTGAATAAAACAAAGTGAAGGACACAAGCTAACAGCATTAAATGAACAATGAACAAAACGTTGAAGGAATGATGTTAAACTCACCTAAAGGAGCTTTATTAGTGTCATACTTCATTTCTTTTAACATCTCCTCCATTGCCTGCACATTACATATCAATTCAATTAAAGTTTGAATCCTCACATCCAGCTTAGATGGCTCTACAATGGGCTTCTCCTCCTTAACTAAATCCACTTTATTCCTCTCGTCTTGTGCTTTATAGTCCATAATAAGAAGGTCATACTTGCCAGAAACTTTAGCAAAGCTTTGCCGCTCCTCCCAGGTATTTTTAGTTTTATCACTGAATTTCTTGGTGAAAATTTTCTTGGCTTCATCAAGGGAAGCACCACAAGTGTGCAAAGTGTTTTGCCCACTGAATCCAACTAAATCAAACACATAAATTTTACAATGGTGGGAACTAGCGGTAAACTAGTGTGAGATGCGTTGGTGTTTCTAAAGAAACAGTTGTGTAAAAAGATAAATTTAACACTGTAAAAAAGTATGTGAAATAACTTATACTGACGTTCCGGACGTTAATCCTTCGTCGGAGTAAAAGTGATGAAACTATATATAAACTCACCCTTTACCTAGTTTCATCACTTTTACTCCGACGAAGGATTAACGTCCGAAACGTCAGTATAAGTTATTTCACATACTTTTTTTACGGTGTTAAATATATCTTTTTACACAACATAAATTTTACACTTACTCAAATTATCCATTAAGATTCTTGCATAATATGCTACTGTACACTAAAAGGTGCAGTACTAGAACATTTACTATATCTTAATTCACGAGCACAAAAACTAAACATGTACAGTATGATGCAAATACAAGCAAACGACAGGTATCAATAATGGACAGGAGCCTCTCTTGTTTAGTCAGAACTATTTCATAATTTAAAGTACATAGTGAGCACTTTTACGTCATGTGTGCTTATTAGAGTTTGCATATACCAGGTCTCTACTGCTTTCAATTGTTCAATTATCACTCTTCATTGGTACTAAATAGTGCAAAGTGTTTATAATTTAAACACTAATTCCTTGAAAACCTTAATTTTTAGAAATAAAATGGTATTAAAATGAATATCTGAATTATGCAAATTCCTTTCAATTGTTTGTTATTGTTTAAACTGCATGCTATTTAGCAATTTTTGTTTGCTTGTTTCCCCCCCACACTTTTAGTGTTTTCACTCTATTCTATTGTTTCCTGTACCGGTAATACTCCATGAAACTACAACATAAGCTCACACACTTTATTTCTCTACTTCCCATTGCATTATGGGTACAATACACAACATTTCCTACTGTTTTTAAACATTTAGCATTATAAAATATTACTATTTCTTATAGGCTGTAGTAAATAACTGCAGTGCTAACTGTTGAACAGGTTGTACTCCATAATTTATTATATGAAGTAACATATTTTTATTTAATTTAAAAAACTCATACATAATTAATGAGCTACTAGCCCAATAGAATGAGCCTATTTGGTCACATGCATGGACCTTTTATATCTGATAAAACACTCCTTATTAGTATTCTTTATATAAAGAATACTAATAAGGGTGACCTTTATCAGATATAAAGGTCCATGACCCTAGCAAAGGTCTCAGGTTTTGAACCTGATCATTGACCAATGCAGGATGTCAACCGATTTCATTGAACAGCCAAGAGCGGTTCTATTTTACTTTATGTGTATTCAAGGTGGGATGACAAGAGTGCTTTGTAAAGTGATTCGCGCATGATCAGTTTGCCCCATTTATCTCTGAACATATTTGTACGGCAATTTTTCCAAGAATTTTAACGGATTTGAGTTTCAAATTAGTGTTGGAGTTTTTTAAGCCGTTTAAAACACTCTCTCGTGTACTATACCTAAAGTATCTGTTTACCCACCTCTTCCCCATCTCATCCATACATAGTACTTTTTAGCCAGGTCATCTTCAAGCAGTTGAATGAGGTAAAACTTATTGTTGTTGTTCTGCACATTAGTCTGATAGAAATAGTACAATTTGATTAATTTACACTCTGATATATCATTATAATAGAATTTGTATTGTACAAGGGCTGACACAAGTCACCTTAAAGTAAGGAAAGAAGACTGAGCGCACACCCCTTAGCTTCATCAGATCTTAGCTTGTATCCCTGACTTATTTCATACTTGATTCAGTTTTCTTTGTTATTCATAGTGTTGTATCTCGCTTATTCCCCAGCTCATTGTGTATTCAAGTGCTTTATATCGAAGTTTCAGGGATATATCTAGATATTGCCCTTGAATACTAATGTATATTGCCCTTGAATACCTAATTAACTACTACGTTCAACTTAGAAATTTTCCGTCTGAAACTTTAAACTTGAAAGAAAGAAAAATTCAAATGACACCAAGTAGATTTGAACCCACAACCTTAGCTTTGAAAATCCTATACTTAACACGTTATTCTAACTGACTAATCGATGTCAGTTATGGAATAAAACAGTTATTTAACATTGTCCAGTTACTTGTTACAAAAGGTGTATTGTTAGCATTGTTCTCATGGGACTAACGAGAAAATTGGTTATGCAAATTATTCCCGTTGGGAATTTTCAATACTGTAAATTTCGTAATCTTTCTAATCGAGGGTTTGGTTTTTAATTCATATGAAAACGGCTTCTTTGCCTATTTAAAAATGATAATAAAAAATGATAAAAAATATTAATGCAGTGCTTGGAAAACTTCTTCAAGTATGAAATACGCCAGTTACATACCTCGAACGTCGGCAATCAGCCTATACATCCCTCGGGCCTACAGCCCTCGGGATGTATTAGGCTGATTGCCTCCGTTCTCGGTATGTAACTCTTACTTATTGTCTTCTTTTGCGATTATTAGTAGGTGTGCAACCCCTCCAATCATAAGAGCTCTATAATGCTCTTCGCTGAAGAAAATCCTGGATCTAGTCCTGTTGATAGTCCATTTCAAGAAGTATCCAGGAAATCAGATATTTAATATCTGCACTAATAGCTTCTTAAATCAAGGAAAGGAAGATGAATCTGCTTGTAAAGTAATATCTTCTGATCTAGATTGACAACGATAAGCGTTGTTTCAAAAATGGCAGACTAATTATTAGGGAATAAAGGGGCTTATGTTAGTTCACTGACTTCCCTGCTTTGAAGTTAAAGGAAAATTATTGTACAATACCTGGTTTAACATGGCATCCCACATATCTGAGCCTTCACAGTATATATGCACCTTACAAATCAAAACCACATAAATATGATAAATGCATTATCACGGATCATGTATTAAAGGATTATTATTATCTAGACTGATTCCATAAGTCGTAGCATCCGCTCCTAATTTTTTCGGTTTGTTACTCCAACTAGCGACTTATGTACTTTATCACAAAGGACTGTACAAACGAAAACAAGGCCGTTGTGCATATTTAATTAGCTGGAGGTGGATTCAAACTTAGCTAGTAGCCGTTAGAATATATCTATATAAAGATCGACTGTACTAAGACTATTAATGTTTTACCAGGAGTTTAATATAATGATTGTTAGGATGTATTTGTGGCAAGATGACATTTTGATGAATGAAATGATAAATGACGATCGCAGATTCGACTCTCGACTAGAGCATCTTATCTAAACAATTCTTTTTATCTTTCTATTCTTTTTTTAACTTTAAAATATACTTGATCTGGTTTCCAAATGATGTGAAAAGATTATAGGCAGAATCTAATAAAATCATTCATGTTGGAGATAAAATTATATTCTGAAATGTTTCTTGTTTTTGTCGATTGAGAAAAAATATGCTAAAAAGTCACTTTAGCCGTTTTCACTTCCAGCTCTTCCATTGCTGTTTATTTGACAAAGAATTCTCAAAGTTATTCCCAGAAGGCTTTTKAAAATTTTTAAGGCTGTAATAACGGCTATCTTTTGTGTTTGGTAAGCTTTTGTGCAACAGAATATGTTGTTTATCAAAACAGGGGTTATTTGCTTTTTAAATTGGAAAATTTGAAAATGTAGCATTTAGAAAAACAACTGGTAAAAATACCTTATCCTTAATAGGGCAGTAGGAGTCGATTGGTGCGTTGCCTTTGAAAACCAAAGATTTCATGTTTGGTGCTTCTTCAGGCTTTGGTTCATTCTTGACTTTCTTTGAAGCTGGATGCATCTTCGTCGTTGTAGCAAGTTTCATTTTTGCTGTAGACGCGTTTTGTGCTTGTGGAGGATCTGTGAGATGAATATGATCCACCAAAATAACATATTACATGGAATACATACTTTATCAATAAATAATTTTAAACAATATTTCTAAATTCTGCATGTTATTCAAATGTTTGTCTTTTTTCTAACCACATTTATTGCATCCAGCACTTTTTAGTACTATTTGGTTTGTGTTTTTTTTTGCTGAATTTTAGTATTTACACTCTAATACTGGGTTAAATGTATCTAAACTTTACCTGCTTCATCAGATCGAAATCGCCTGACTTTTTTCAAAGTTTTATTACCCTTCTTTATCTGTGTTAGTTTATCAAGATCTACTGTAATTTCCTTCCCTTGTTCTTTCCATGTAATACTATTCATACTATGTGCTCTTGCTGCCTCAAGTATTAATATGGYGAATGCTGGGTAGGTTGTCCATTTGTCCTTGAATTCTTTCCATTGCCAATAATCTAATGCAATGACCAATAAAAACAATATTTTAATCAAGTAAATACAGGATAAATCAATAAGCTATCAAAAATGATGTTCAGAAATGAAAAGAGCAGGGTGAAATTGCAAAGTCTCAACACTATATTAAATACTTTAAAATGGGAGCAAATACAAAATCTTAAATTTTTCTTAATTTTTATGTTACATATTAAGGGAAAATCAAATTGCATTGGAGAGCAAGACTTGACAATCAGAAAAAAAAACATCAAGGATTTTTGTACACATCTGAAGGGGTTTAGGCCTCATTTCCATTCCTTTGTTTGTTTTGTTTTCATTTCACTTCCAGGTTACGCTAGAGCGGATTTCGTATGAGTGGGACACCGTTACCGCACGGCTACCGCACAGTTACCGCACCTGGCCTGCAGAATTTTGGTGAACCAATGGGGCATTAGAATTTGGTTACAGTACGATTACGGACACAGTACAGTACCGTCCGTTTCCCACTCATACGAAATCTGCTCTATATGCAACTGCTGTACTGTGTATGACATTTTTTATTCTATATATATATATATATATTATTCTATTTTTACAGCCTTTTGCACAAATTATGAGACATTTTTATATATATAAATATACCTAACCAAATATCAAAAACACCCAAGAAATTATGGGATACCGTCGCTGATATTTTGTCTGTAACAACCTGATGCTAGGCAATCATGACAAAATATAATAGAGATATACCATAATTTCTGGGGTGTTTTTTATATTTGGTTAGGTATATTTATATATATAAAAATGTCTCATAATTTGTGCAAAAGGCTGTAATTTATTAATATTATATATGATATTAAAAACTTCASTCAAAAGTGGGCAGAGGGCAATAATTAGGACTGAAAGTTTATTTTAGAAAGGTAGCAAACATTTATGGGCTTCTTTTGATTGGGCCTTACATTGTTCATCATCATCAAGAGACAGACATCTCACTCTCTTCTCAAACCCAGATTTAACATTCCTCTGTACCATTCTATCAAATATGACGACAATGGTAGACTTGTTTTGTGTGATCTCAATGGATCCCTTGCCATCTTTAAAAGCACCACTCAGTTCTTTATTTTGGTCACAGGTATATTGGATCCACTTGTCTTTACCAGATTCATACTCCCATGTGGGAGAAAGTTTAGAGCAGCTTTTGCCATTGACATTATTGTTACTGTCCAAAGCAAGAGGTTCTTTTTTTATCTTTTTTGTTGGAAGGTCAGTAGTATCTTGGGAGTCTTGTTTTACTTATTGTAAAATAGAAAGTTAAAGACAGAATTGCATTAAACAAACATGCAAAAAATTGCATTTCTTTCAAGAATCAACGTCAATCCAAGATATTTCACAGATTGTTTTTTGCTCTAAGTTTTCAAAACTCTTCTCTTTTTTCCTAATCACAAGAATATTGAGGCCTTGAGCATGTTTTTCTTTTCAATTCATTGGTTCTTTTAATTTTAAACATAGTATGTTTTAAACAAGGCTTTTTAGGCGCTACGGAGACATAAAACTACGATTTTTTGCATTAAACTAGACTAAATATATCACATACCTGCCTTTCTTCTCCGAGAAGTCGACATTTCAATTGCGTTTCAGTGGATATTTCGTGTCTTTGGGCTCGAACACCAGTGCAAATCAATGGGGAATGTTTCTAAACTACTAGGTAGCTTGAGCTGTCTGATGGCGGGAAAACAATATTGCCCCAGTCTCCGGAAGTTTGTTTCTAGGACTCTATCACAGGTATCCCAACACACATCGTGACTTTATTTAGTTACAATAAATAGCAGCTACAATAAATAACTTTTATTTTTTTGTACAGTCCATCTATAATATTTTTAAAATGTTACCAAAAACTTATAATACAGGGGGGGGGGCGCTCGGGAGGCTCCCCCCCCCACAAGCTTAAAAGGTTCCGGTGCTTCTCTTTTTTTATTGACTAATTTTAATTTTTTTTGTTATGAACTGTTTTTGAGTTTATTTTGTTATGCTCATTCTAGCAGCCAGCTCTTAAACCATACCTGCACATTGAATTTAGTTAAACATTTAACTTATGTCCGCATTATGAAAAACGAAACCCCCCCCCCATTTCTAAGGAAGCCTATGGGCCTGGGGAAGTAGCTTAAACAGGTTTAGGTTCTTAAAATAGGTTCTTATTCTAGAGTGAAGCAAATAAAACATAGCTTCGATAAGATGGTGCCAATTCCCTATTTCCTGACGACCCCAGCCCAACCCCCCCCCAAAAAAAATAACTCAAATTTTAAAGTGCTCATGTAGGCGCGGTATGGACACAGTATCGTTTATTATCGATATTTTATATCGTTTATATCGATATTTTCCTCGTTAAAGTTATCGATATTGAATGCATTATCGGACAATTAATCGATATTTCTAAAATTACTGATCGCGTGATCGTATTTAGCAAGCACATGTTTGATGATATCGATAGTCTTATACGAAGACTATAATCATCGGATATGAGGAAATGCAGTCAGTGAACTAGTTTTTTTCATTTGATAATATCGATAGTCTTATAATATCAGATAAATATCGGATGTCAATACTGATATAGTACAACATTAAATGTGTGCAACACTTTCTACAGTTTACTACAAATAGTGTTAATTAAACAATAGAAAACAATAGAATTAGCATAATTTAGCAGTATTTAGTGGTATTTATTATGTTGCACAATTATCCGATATTATCGCAATATCGAGGGGTCCAGACAGTAAAAGAGGGCTGATCTAGTGACTATCTATTAGATGCATCAGGATTATTGATGATACTTATCCGATAATATCGCAATATCAATAACTCCAATAACTGCAAGGGGCACTATTAATGAGTGGGAGTTTTAAAATGTATAAAACAAATCCCAAAAATAAGAAAGAAAAAACCTTTTATAACTAATTATAGTATTTTAAATCGATATCTTATCTAATTACAGAAAATGTCAGAATATATGCAATGTCCGTACGAATAGAAAACATAATTCGGCCACTCTCTGTTTAAAAATTGATTCTCGGTTGCGCAATCGCCGCGCTGTGAAAAAAAAAGCCAATTAAAGTGCGCTTTAAAAGTGACATTATAGAAATATATAGAAATAATTACTAAATGATTCTGGAGATATTGCAGACAATCATTAATGTAGGAAGCCTAATCAAAGACAACAACAAAAAGAAAAAAAAGAAATATGAAAAAAGAAAAAAACTTGAGTGGTGGGATTCGAACCCATGACCATAAAATCGAAAAAAAGTTGGGACGATTCCCCCGAGACATTCTGTGAAGCTGAGGCGGCGAATCGATTTACATTCCGGTTAGAGATTTCGGCTCTTCCATGCTATCCCGATAATTGGTCCTAACTTCGCGCTAACTAAAAAGCCAGTGAGGGAGAAGCTATCCGGCCCCTAGACACTGATGGATAACCCCTTGCACTAACTAGGCAACTATTGAAAATATGATGTCAAATTGGGATAGTCTATTCGGTGAAAGTGCCAAGTGGTCTATTATTATGTAAATGAGCGTGGTCCAGTGGCGCACCGCGTTAAGGYGCYKCTTGCAAATCCAATGTAGGTTTGACGGTAGCGGGATCGATTCCCGGGACGAGACGTTTACTCAGATTGTGTAGTTTCATTTCTATTTTATTTATTGTTTATCTTCTTTTTTTATTTATTTATTTTTTTTGCAGAATTATTGTCATCTCTTGTGCACTCACTGAGAACCGACTTTCTTTTTTACGAAGTGGATATATGATCGGCTCCCACTCAAAGTCTTCGATGTACTAACATTCTAAATGAATGCTAGTTTTGTTTTGGAGATTTTGTCGGTACATTTGTACCGCTGATTTAGGAGGGTCTCAACGGGGTGGTACGCATTACTACTAAACATTTGGCGATTTCACGACTCACGCCTCGAATCACGGTCAACTAGATAACTTTCAGAAATTTTCGAAATACGTTTTTCATTACTTTTTCATAATTTGTTTTGTGCTAGAGATAGTGAGTGTGGTAGCACAGTTTCCCCTTGTACGTTATAGACACTTAGTTATTATAACTTTTTGTCATCACTCTCACATGTCAAATTTTGTCCGTGCCCTGACTTGTCTGCAGGGCCTTGTTGTTAAGTGCGATCCATTAGAATTTTGAGGGGGTGGGGGTGGAAGAGTGAAAGATTTAGGAAAAACAATTCCTGGACGGACCGACGGGCCGACTAAAAATCCTGCAAGGAAAAATTTTGAAAAATCTCCACTAAAGCTTTTATTTTTTTTAAAATTTATATCGGAGTTGACTGTCCTTCTGAGGGACAAAACCAAATCATGGCTCACGCTATAAAAAAACATTCACGCCTCACGGCTATTTCACGACTCACGGCTAATTTTTCAGCCGTTTCACGGCTCACGGTTAACCCCATTGAGACCCTCTTATACATGGGCTTCCTGTAGTTACGCCTGGACGGCATGTGGGGTCCTACGCCATCTCAAAATTACGTCTAGCTGCAAAGTGCCAAAAAATACCAGTTTTATAAATGTTTACATTACAGACATCAACAGTTAGCAGTTAGCAGGGTTATACGAAAAGCTTTCAACAATATTTACAACATTTTAATTTGCCGTGCTCCCTTGCTGCAATTCAGGCTAAGTAACGAGGTATATTTTTTTTGGTGATCCGAATCAAAAGGCTAAAAACGCGATCCCGATCCCAATACTCCGTACATTTTGATCCCTGATCCCCTTACAGAATCGTTGAAAAAAATCATGGATCCCGATCCCAGTTCAAAAACCTTTGATCCCATGTTAAATCCATTTGATCCGGATCCTAAGCCTAAATCATGATCCCTGATCCCAAAATAGCCCCAAAATTGACGCTGATCCCTGATCCCAAGACCTCGTTACTTGCCTGTGCAATTGCCGCATGCCTTCGGCCTGGACACGGTAATTATTGATATTATCCGATAATATCACAATATCAAGGGATCCAGACAGTAAGAGAAGATTAATCTAGAGACTATCTATTAGATATAATTACTGATATTATCCGATAATATCGCAATATCGAGGGGTCCAGACAGTAAGACTGAGTTTCTGTAAATATCAAACATTGTGTGGCCATCTCAAAAATTCATTTCCATGGCAACCACCCCCACTATTTCCAAAACAGCTGTAAGTAGGTATGTAAATTATATGGTTGTACATATCTTGTAGCTTTGATATCTCAATAACAACTTTAAAAGTGGTAATTAATCCATGAAATGTAAATTAATAAATTATAAATGATTCCAAAACGGCTTCTACGAGTTCATATTAGTAATTTTTAGTTATCAAGTTTTTGATATCTTTGTTGAGTATATTTAACAAAATTGTTACAAGGTCGATTAGTTTGGATGTCCACCAGAGATACAAGACACCAAGTTATCCAAAATTGAGCATTTCATAAATATTGAAAACTTCAGTGTGTTGTAAATTCATTATGGAATAACAATGGTAACCAGACCAAAGAAAAGTATCTCCAACAAAAGTCCAAGGATGATTCTTTGCTTTGATATAGCAAAGGAATTGTGCTGCAAAATTGTTTAATAGTAACGATTGCCTAAAAAGCTAATCAAGCAGCCAATGGCAGCATAACTCGAAGATTGATACAGAACGATACATGTACGATGAATCAATTTATAATTACTTCACAAATAGAATTTTAAGTAAACGATTTATAAAAATTCTTTTGATAAAATCCTATTTTAACTTCGGTTGTGGATAAGCACGGCGAGTGACGGTGAAATAAATCTCAGTTAAATAGTCATTAATCGAAATGCACAGGGAGACCAATTAGAGGAAGTAAGCGGAATACATTAATATGATTAAATCGAAAACTGCTGACAAAAACATCGCAGGCTCAAGTTTACAGGAAAGTGATCGAGCGAGCGAGCGAGTGACAGCGGGTTGTCCCCTCCCAATAACTGTAAATATCAGTTTCTGTAAATATCAAACATTGTGTGGCCATCTCAAAAATTCATTTCCATGGCAACCACCCCCACTATTTGAGTCTTTTTTGATCCAAAACAGCTGTAAATAGGTATGTAAATTATATGGTTGTACAGATTCATAGATTCACTGCATAAAATATGTTCTCAAGGCCCACCAAAATGCTTGAAATCTTATATCCAGGTTTCAAAATTTCAAAAAATTGTCACCACCTCTACTTGATCCAGCCGCAGCTGACTTTAATACATACACTTTAATTATTTTATACACTTTAATTATTAGACAATCTTGTGACATATAATTAACAATCATATTAATGATCCATGCTCAGTAACATTAGTCTTCTTGAAGAACTGAATCTCAGTCTTTTATCTCATGTTCAGTCTATTTTATCTTTCTTTYACTGGTCTTTATTACATTGGTCAAATGAATTCTACAAGTCTTTAATGCCACTAACCTATGGAGTGAAGTAATCAAAAATCATAATTAATTACTACGGAGAGTGAAAAGCGATTGGAATGACAACAGTCAGTAATTATATTAATATACTGAAATGTCCATAAAATTAATTTGGAGAACAAGCTCTAAAAGGTTATAATCACTATTTGGTGTTTTTGCAGCTGTCAATCAAAACTCCGAACTACAATTTTAATGACTCATCCAACACACTCGACCAAAGTGTGAACAAAGTTTTATAGTATTTGGGAATCATGCGAGTCTTGAAAGCAGTTCAATGAATTAGGTTGTTGATTGACAGCACAAACAACACCAAATGGCGGTTAGTGTACAGCTTGCATAAACAAAATTGCAGTTGAACGTATTGTTACTCAACCAGTCCTGATTTAAAAAAAAAATCTGCAATTAGTAAGACTGGACGTGTTTTATCGAGACTGGTGTTGTTGTAGCAATACAAAAATCAAGCCGCCAATAGCGACACAACTCGAAGATTGTTAGACAAGTATACCGTGGACATAAATCTGTATGMMRCCTCAGRCTTTGTTCAGACCTCAAAAATCACATTTTGTGTGTTTAAAAAGCCATTTCTGTATAAAAACACCTGGCCATCTTGGTTACGGATTTCTAAATGCCCGTATGTTTACAGAAAAAATAAGTGACCTATTAACTAGTCCACCTCACCTCACACACCATATCTATCTCCCTCCTATAACTCTTCGATTGCTTCGCAATCTTCGAGTTAACCAGGCGAGGCTGATAGTTTGAGGTAAAATATGACGAAAGATAATCTGAATAATCTCATTATGATTGAATCATTTCAATTGAAAATGGATGGACAAGATGAAATCAGAAACGCTATATTTCGATTTAATTACCAAATCATCATCATTCAGGTGAATCTGAATTATAGAGTTATATTCTATATATTACATGGAAATTGCTCTCTGTACTGCAGAAAACAGGAGTATTAATATAATACTGGACTTGAACCAAGCAAATTGTACAGCATGAGAATGAAGTTAATAATGACACAGAATGATGTTCATCAGAGTTTAAACAGAATGCTTAAAAAACAGACAGAGATAAAATAGTTTCTGTTTTTTTGCTTCTGACTGGTACCTTCTTATGCTGTTGTTATTCCATCTGACCTGCAGGAAAGCAATAAAAAATGATGAAATACAGTGTCAAGTAACCAATGGTTTTCAGATATTATTCTCTTCTAATGTGAAAAAGGTTCTCTACCATTTATATATTAAATAAGATTCATGAGTAACACAAATTAAGCTAATAAAATCCAACAATAACCACACCATGCAGGCACAAATAGAGTGAAGAAAATAGACATATTATAAAGAAACATCAAAAAAGCAAAAATCAAAGAAACAAAGAATGCAGTTCTTTTGTCATTATCTAGATGGGTCAGTTTACTGCGACATCAAATTGCACTCCAAGCCAACAAAATAATAATACATCAGACAGTATAATTTTACCATAGGGCAGATCGATGCAGCACAATATATTTAATGCCAATGGACTGATGCTACTGCAACTGTATCAATCCATACAATATGTTATTGTTGATAATTTACCAGTACCTTAACCTGTGAAGCATCACCTAATGGTAAATTGCATGTTGTATTCCAGTGTGTGAGGAGCATCAGCCTGGATCTCAAGTCCACCAAAAAAGACAGGAAAAAGTTTGTCAATATATAATTCAATCAAACAAGATAACATTTTTTTGGTTATAAACCCAATATATCAGACATCAAACAAAACTCCATCTGGGGCACAAACAAAAAGATTTTTTTTCTCGAGAAACAAACATTTTTTTTTTGTTCTTAAGAGCTAAATCCATTGTAACTGTTTCCAAGTTGGAGTTGTATTCCAACAAGCTACAATGAAGATCCTTTAAACCAGGCATTGTTGAACACTAAGTCTTTTGACTGCCAACATGCAGATATTATCAAAATCTCACAGGCACAGTCCATTTTATCAGCGAATCACCACTTGCATTCCTGTGGTTCTATTAGTCAGACTGGATTGTTGTGACTTTGGTGTTGTTTTTGCTTCAACTTCTCTTTATCTTTAAATACACTTGTTCAATTTTTCTTTTTTACCCTCTTATTCAATCTTTAAATTTTTTCATTCATTTTTCTCTTCTTGTTTTTTTTTGTTTACTTGACAAACTGAAGTGAGAATCAAAACAGGTTTCTTTCTTTGACTTCAAGTTAAATCTACCACTTCATCTTGACCACCCCTGAATGAATGAAATAATTTACAAAATGTATTACCCTGTGCAAAGCCAAGGACAAAATGTACTTTATTGAAGTCTTTGTCCCTGTTAAAAGAACAACTGACACTGATGATGATGATTACAAACTAAAATCATGCAGGTAATGGAAGACTGTCAATCAAAATAATTATATTTATTACATAAATCTGAAAAAAGAACAGTGGATTTTGAGCATTGAACAGTCTGCCCAATGAACCATCTGCAGACCAGAAGTTCTGAGAAGTAGAATGTGATGTCAATGATGTCTTATTATAATACTGGATAGACAAAGAGTAATTTAAATTGATATTTAGTTTTTGTATTAGTAGTAAATCTTCAACTTCATCAACATTGGCAATGAATATGATAAATAAATATAGTTTTAATATATAGTTTGCATTTTTCTGTACTTCCAAATTGGGATTGCCACGTCCTGAACTGCTGGTCTGAGAATGCTTTATGGGTTAACTGCCAACACTAGCAGCAAAGTTGAAGACTATCATAGTAATAACAACTATTTTATTTTATGAGTTTAAACAATTTAGACTGTTATTAATAGTTCAATTTTCATTTCTAGACAGTATCTAAGAGCTTTATCTGTGATAAGTAGGATTCCTGTATCACTGTCTGATAATAATCATAATTAATTTGATTTTGAAATGATAAAAGAAAAAGATTCTAAAAAAATCATATTGCAAAAACTTTGTTTAAGTAATCTATATAGTCTGTTAGTCTACAAAATGAGTGTTTTCTATGTGAAGATATTATACATGTATTATTCAAAATCATGAAAGTGATAATTAAAACTCAATGACTGCAGTTTTGTCAAAGAGTTAAGTTGTTTTTATTTTTTAGATATTAAAGTTAAAACAGTTTGAACAATTTGGAAGTGATGAATATATTGTTACCTGCATGTATTTACAAACTTCAGAATAAACTCAGACATAATAAAGAAGAGTGAAGCAAATCAAAAGAATAAATGTTTTTGAAAGTTGTAGTTGAAAACATTGCAATAGAGGAACATTAACACAATATAGTGTTATCATTTACCTTACAACCACTTTACCACTACTGCTATAGCTCAATACTTATCATATTATGTATTCCCCATTGGCACAATTGAGTGGGATGTTTGAGTTAACAAGATTACATTATTTAACACAAGAAAAACAATTATATTAAATAATTAATATGCCAAATTATGCTTTTTTGCAAAAGATATTTCTTTTGATTCAAAACAAAAAACAAAAAACAAAAAAAAAACATGACAGTTTAAAAACAAGTACAGAATGCATTTTGAAATGCTACAGAGAATGGAATTTTTGAACAGATATAAACTAAGATATAATTTCTGTTTTCAAAAACTCCAGTGAATTCTTACTTTAACATTCCTGATATGTAATACATATAACATGCATGTACACGTAGTATAAATTTCTTTTATGTAGTTGAACATTCATAATTATATAATATTATATGAATATGATAAACAAAGGGACAGGTGTAACTTTCACTTTGAGGTCATGTATTACTACATTCTTTGTGGGACTATATAGTCACTCTACTATACATGCATACACTTAAGACTACCATGACAGGCAAGTGTTCTATTGACTAATTTGATTAAAAAAAAACAATATTATATGATCATGGCCATGTCAAACAAATCTGACGACTGTTATTCAACAGTGGACTGGATACATGTTTAACCTTTTTAAAGTCTGCAAACTTCTAAATCTTAAACACCTAAAACTATATATTTTAAGGATTAGCATATTAATTGTAGCAGCTAGTGAGCATACTAGATTAACTAAAAACCCACCATGTCAGCTARTAATAGTCTCTTCTAACAGCAAAGACTTCCGATTTCATCAAATTTCCTCCCTGAACTATTGGGGAGAAAATTTGATGAAACCAGAAGTCATGGCTATTAGAAGAGACTAGTTAAAAGAAGGGAAAAAAGGGACTAAACAACAGATATCCGTATACTTTTTAAGCTTGAAGCTGATTTGCTGATGGTGTCACATATACTACCAGACCAGAACGATCTGTCTACTTTCTTTTGTAATTAATTTGTTCTTGAAGTGCCCACTACACCATTAGAAATTCATTAATCATCCAAAAGAGAAAATGCTTTGAGTAGATTTGTGAAGAAAGAAATTGATCTTCAATTGTATTTCCTACCTGTAAGTTATGGGCAATTGAAACTTAGAAAATGCAAATGACGTGACGTCTACTAAGGAATGATATAATATACAAAATCATGAAAGAGAACATTATTTTTTTGTTACATTGAAAAAAGAATTTTCAGCTCTCGATTATTACTATTAATGACTGATGACAAGAACAACATAACACAAACAATGTATTCTAAAAAGTCTTGACCAATTCCTTAGTTGATGTCACTTCATTTACATTTTCAATTTTCAAATGTCTATAACTCACAGAAAATACAATTCAAAATCTTTATCTCTCTTCACAAAAGTGCTTTTCCAAAAGGTGTCATGTGCACTTTAATGAGAGGAATTAAAAATTGAATAGAAACCAAAGAAATATAACCAAGGAATTCCGTGGGGACTAAATTATCAAACAAACGAAAGTGTGCAAAGCAAAGCATTCTGGTCTTGGTATTATGTGACACCAGTGTTTAAATCCCTTGTTGATTGATGAAAGCTCAACCATAAAATCAGTTAAACATTAACTTTCAGCAACAAATGTTAGGTTTGATTGAGTTTTATCAATATTTTCAAATTGCATGTCATCTAGTCCCTATTTCAATCCCTACTTGTCATTGCTCCACATTTCTTGACAATAAAGAAACATCACACAGTTATAATCATATTACACAATAATTGTATGATCAAGAAGTTGATTGTGAGAAATGAAAGAATCATATTAAAATGATCTAAAATCATGCCTGATTTTGCTCGTATGTCCATCACAAGTCCATTAAATCTTTTCAGTGATAAAGGGGTGGGTTAGAGCCTCATTTAGTGACAGTCTCTTCACTGGGTCTAACATGAGAATTTTCTCCAGCAGATCTTTCAGTTGGTGAACCTTTTTCTTGTGGACTTCGTCAAGTTTGTGGAAGCCTAGTAGAGATTCTGCTATCTCTTTGTTGGGATTGATGGAGCTAATGACTGTTACTTTTTCCTGGAAAGAACATTCATGGAAGTTAATATTATAATGTGTGTTACCATTTCTTGAGATTATTTTTAAGTGCCAGCTAAAATTAGTATGAATAAAAGTACTGTATACAAAAGGAATGAATAAAACATTTAATGTAATTAGCCTTATCTCACTAAACATGCAAGTCTATAGCCAACTGTATGAAAATTTAAAAAACTCATACATAATTAATGAGCTACTAGGCCAATAGATTGAGCCTATTTGGTCACATGCATGGACCTTTATATCTGATAAAACACTCCTTATTTTAGTATTCTTTATATAAAGAATACTAATAAGGGTGACCTTTATCAGATATAAAAGTCCATGACCCTAGCAAAGGTCTCAGGTTTGAAACCTGATCATTTACCAATGCAGGATGTCAACCGATTTCAGTGAACAGCCAAGAGCGCTTCTATTTTACTTTATGCGTATTCAATGTGGGATGACAAGAGTGCTTTGTAAAGTGATTCGCGCATGATCAGTTTGCCCCATTTATCTCTGAACATATTTGTACGGCAATTTCTCCAAGAATTTTAACGGATTTGAGTTTCAAATTAGTGTTGGAGTTTTTTAAGCCGTTTAAAACACTCGAGGTCGTGTTTTATCAGGTATAAAGATTCTCGCCTTCGGCTTGAATCTTTATACCTGATAAAACACTCTCTCGTGTTTTAAACTATACATCTAAGCAAATCAACTACTAGGGAACTAACTTACTCTTTGTGTAACTTTATCAACTTCGTGATGTAAAAAGTTGCAGCTGTCATCAAAGTGTTTGTCTTTCAGCATTCCTTTACGGATCATTTTATTAGGCATCTTTCCTTTGAAATCCATCATTAGTTTGAGCATCTCGTTGTTGGTCTTACCAGGGAACATAATCTTGCCTGTGTATATTTCATAGATGGTGCAGCCAACAGACCAAAGGTCTAGTGGGTAATCATACCTGGATCCTATAACTAATTGCAAAGGCAAGATCTAGGTTAGGGAAATATAAATAATCTGGCATGGCTTTTTTAGAAAGTAGTAATAAAAATACTTTAAATCTAAACAAGAACCACTTTGTGGAACATACTGTGTCCAGGTTTAATACATTAAAATACGTTAAGTATAAAATTTTGACATTACTAGTAAATGTATCAGCGCTGCGATTGATTTGATAGATTTTTGCGTCTGATCTTTTCACATTTARAAAAAATATTTTTATCATTGCAGCGAAAATTTAGCATTCAGATTGCATCAAGCAGTATCCTCATAGATTTTATAATATGAAAGTTTGCTTTGAATTTTATAAGAAAAAAAACGAGTGCATTTTAAAGTCAAAGAAAGAAAGAAAGAAAAATTGTTTAGAAGCTGCTCAAGTCGAAAATCAATCAGGCCTTCGGCCTGGACATGGTAAAATGTGAAAAAAAAAACAGCATTTACTGTACAATGCAGTATCCTCTGCAGGCGTTTTTTTTCAGTTTTTATATTTACAAAATAACTGTATTTGTAACTACATTATTGTGAATGAGTGATTTCTGTAAGTGCCATGGGACACAAATGCAAATTAAGGCAACATAACCAAACAAAGCTACTGCATGTATGTCTTAGTTGCTTGTTTCAGGCTTGCTGAAGTTTTCCAGATCAAGGACATCTAGTGATCAATGTGTCAATAGCTGGTGTTCACATTTCTCTAGATAAATACTTACTAATTTCTGGTGCTCTGTAAAATCGGCTGACCAAGTAGGGGGTTATTTCACAGTCTTGAGCAAAGGATGCCGAACCAAAGTCACATAATTTTATCATTAACTTTGATTCATTCACCTGAAAAGCAGCAAAATTAGGAAGTTTATTGTAGAAGGCATCATATAAGAAACTGCTTAATAGTCTAAAAATTCATTCATTTTAAGCCCCATTCACATAATACCTATTAAGGATAGCATTCAGAAAGTGCAATTGACCCTATAACATTACATTTCTTTTCAAGGTCCCACTCCTACAGGATGTTTTTAAGAAAGTTTTCTAAGAGCATGGGCAGATCGACAAATATAGATCATGTTGTACTGTAACAGTACAAATATGGGTGATAACCAACAATACAGTAAAAACCCACATACATAAGAACACCTATTTTGATGGTTCAGGCTGATTTGGTTCTTATATAAAGTGTTATAATCTGCAAAATCAGCCTGTGTAAGTTTCTTAAAATAAGAACATACTAGGCTGCCAATAGATGAAATTCTAAAACTCATGAATTATTCAATAGACATTCCTCCAATGAGCATTCAACTATGGGTCACATGACAGTACCTACACTATAGCTCAAGTTACAAACACTGATTAATTAAACATGAGTTTTATAACTAACCATTTCAGCTACGTAGTTATAACACTCATGCATAAAACATCAGTGTTGTAACTGATTTACAGACACTCAATGTATGCCCAACACTAGAAAAGTTTTCAGGTTTAGACTCTCATCATAGAACTTCACTAGCTCAAGAATGCTAAGGCCTGGGTTTGACCTTCGTTGACCTTGGGATTGTTTTAACATTAATTTCTTCTTTATAATGTCTGTTCAACTTTAAATTCACAAATTTAACTAGGTTTGTGGTTATTAGTATTTTCCTGTTTTTTGATGCTAATCACGTGGTCTATGACGTCATAATAGTGAAAAATAGAAAAATAAATATGCAGTTGCGAGTTTTACACACTCTGGAAAATAACGTGCATAAATATCCATTGACTACTGACTCAAACAGAATGCCGTTTGGAAAAGCTGTTCAACTACTTTGGTTTAGGAGATATTGAGGCTTAAACTAAGTCACGTGACCTGTTTTATGCAATATCTCTTAAACCATGAATTCAAAACAGGTCCTCCAAGCGGATGCTTAGAAGGCTCTATAAGTAAAGCTGCTTAGCTTAATAGTTTTTGGGTAAAGTTAAAACTCGCAACCACATTTTAAAAATATGTTTTTCTCCTTTTATTGATGACAACTGGTGCAATGAAAAGTAGTGTTGATGTTTGATATTTTTCCACAAAAGAACAACTTTCATTTTTCAGGCTGAATGTGTTCTTATATTAAATGGTACTTTATTTCCTAAAATCAGGCCTAGGTGTTCTTAATCCACTTGTTCTTATACACGGGTTTTTACTGTAGCAAGTCAATCACAATACCATAGTAATTTACGAAGTAATATAATTATACTGTAAACTAACCAATATGTTATCAGGTTTAATGTCGGCATGTAATATCCCTGAACGTTTGAGCAGCTTTAAGGACAAGAACAATTGCTGACTGTATGATCTGACCGCCTTGACATGAAGTCCAACATTTTGACCATATTTCTTCAGCACTTCTCGTAGGTTCATGCTTAAACCATAAATGTACATTAGCAAGTACCGTACATGTACTATCAAATTTGAGATGATAACTTTTAAAATCCATCTTTCATACTGGGATAAAGTTCTCTAATTTTGTAAGAATTTTATCTGCTGAATAAAACCAAACTATCCAGTAAATAGCTTTAAATAAATATTATTGACCCTTTTCAAACACATGTCAAGCCTTCTGACTGTTCAAACATGTACTCTGCCTGAAATTATTTGCCTTGTATTCATTTATCACTGTGTAAAAGTTGTCATTCTCGTTGAATGATAATTTTCCAGCACCTGTACATTTTAGCACTAAATGTTAGTAATAAAGATAATATTAATTGAATAAAAGATTTAATATATAGCGCAGGTATCCACAAGTTCATATGCACATTAGACATAGAAGATTCCAAATTACAATAATAAATGTTTTTAAAAAGTAACGAAATAATTAAAAAATTGTATTCTATTTAATATATATACATAAATATTGAAGTATAATTATTGCTATAATCATTGCTGTGTATTCAAAATGATGTATACATGTCAATGTTTAAAATACATATTAAAACAAACAAATCTTAAATTAATATCTTRTAAAATTACTATTTAAGGAAATATGTCACTTTTTAACAAATGACGTTTAAATTAAGCAATACAGTACAATGTCATCATTGCATACCTTAAAGACTCGAACACAAGGCATAAATGGTTCTTGTGAAAGAAATGTCTGAAGAGTCTCAAACAGTGATACTTGTCCTCGGGATCTGCATCGTTTAACTTCTTTAGAAATTCTAACTCTTTGAGACCTGTCTTGTGCCTGCACAGGAATGAAAACACATGCTGTCAAATATACAGTACTCTATTTACTTTAGATGCAGCAGCATTTTATTCAAGCGTTTGGCCATTCCAAATAATGATGGCAGCATTTAATTCTGTTTGTGAATCAGATGAMAAGCTAATCAGGGAAACATAAATATTTGAAAGTAATTAATTAACATGATGAAAGTGCACACATTTTGAGCTTTTTTTTTGTTGTGAGCTTTTTTTTTGTTGAGATTTATTTGGTCAATCTAATAACGAAATGTCTTTCTTTCAACTGAAATGCCACCTTAAAACATAATTATGGAATTAATTCGTCCAGCATTCACCAGAGTATTCTTGACCATAGGAGTACACCACTATAATTCCACTTATATCTATTTAGGAATCCAACAAATAAATACAATTCCTTGAATAGACAATTAAGTTGTTACTTACATCATTTCATTGTTTCTGATGATTTTGATAACAACCTCCTGTGTRCCTCTRGCTTGATCTCTTGCCCTGACAACATTACTGAATACTCCACTACCAGAAAACCCATAAACATTATATCTCTTGTCTAACTGCTCACCAAGACGAACACCTAGAAAGTTAGATCRAAACACACTTTAGAAAGATAGATTTAATATACAGAAACCTTGAATATCAAGTGAGCGTACACTGTGGTAGCTCCATTTTCAGTTTTTTTTTTCTACTATTAAAAACACTCTTTAAATTTAAATACATTGTACATTCTAATTTTTTATTTTCCTGCCTAAAATGGCCAATTGCTAAGAGTAGGGCACTATATAAATTCTTATACATATTCAAACTACAACCTTGGTAATTTCTCTCTGAAAATGAAATCTATTTGAATGTACTCTTTATGGGCTAAGAAATTTTTGAAGTCATTCCATTTTAAAGATATAAAAAACATTTCAATAGTATGAACACATTTGAGACTTTTTCCAAAGCAAAAAGTAGCAAGACCTCTGTACGATTTACAAAGTGGAAATGCTGTCATTCATGCTCGCACAAAGTCCATTGTATTTTATTTTATGTGAACATTTGGGCACGTGTGACTTTGAGAGTATCAAGTAACTGTATATTCTCCAAGTGAATAGCCCAATWGATTTCTCAGTTTTTTTATGCTTGATTATAGGCTTAAATAAATCCTATTTTCATATATTAAGCCATATTAATCATGGAAGCTTTATTATCCATGGTTTGTCTTGAAATTTTTTAAATGTGTTGTAATAATCAGATTATTATTTCTTGAACTTCTTCAATATATCAGATTGTATATTTTGCTCTGTTACCCTTATCATGTCCCTCACTGCGCACTAGGTGAAAAAGGTTTTCTTTGGAGCTCAAATTTGGACTTCTCAGCAGAGCGCAA